AGTCACTGCATGTGTGTGTGAGGACAGAATGTTCAGGTTCATCTCTCCTCCATCCTAAACACACACCGGCTTCATCAGCCAGGAGAACCTCCAGAGAGAGAGAGAGAGAGAGAGAGAGAGAGAGAGAGAATCAGAGAGACAGAGAGAGAGAGCGAAAGAGAGAGAGAGAGAGAGAGAGAGAGAGAGAGTCAGAGAAACAGAGAGAGCCTCGGTGCCGCTTCAATGCTGACTGCCTCTGAAGATGAAAACGATGATGATGATGACGGTGATGGTGATGTGCTGAGATCACTGGCTAACAAGGATCATCAAACAGCAGGTACGTGTGTGTGTGTGTGTGTGTGTGTGTGTGTGTGTGTGTGTGTGTTGAGTACACACACTCTCAGAATTAGCATCACTGCTGTAATGGGGGGAGGGGTGAATGGGGAGGAGAGTACCGCACACGCGTGTTTCTGATCATACGGGAGTTTTGAGACAGACTGTGTTTTACAGTCGAATAATATGAACAGAGATTTTGTGAGCAAAGTGAAATTTATACCATTGTAATTGTTACAGTTTAGCCCTGATCCCTGATCTTAATCCCAAAAACCAAACCCTAACACTAAGCATGTATTAAACAACATAAACTGAACTGACTGTAGCCCACAAAATTCAGTCTGAACCGACTGTAGCCCCACAAAATTCAGTCTGAACCGACTGTAGCCCACAAAATTCAGTCTGAACCGACTGTAGCCCACAAAATTCTGTCTGAACCGACTGTAAACCCACAAAATTCTGTCTGAACCGACTGTAGCCCCACAAAATTCTGTCTATCCCGACTGTAAACCCACAAAATTCTGTCTGAACCGACTGTAGCCCCACAAAATTCGGTCTGAATTGACTGTAGCCCACAAAATTCTGTCTGAACCGACTGTAGCCCCACAAAATTCTGTCTGAACCGACTGTAGCCCACAAAATTCTGTCTGAACCGACTGTAGCCCCACAAAATTCTGTCGGAACCGACTGTAGCCCACAAAATTCTGTCTGAACCGACTGTAGCCCACAAAATTCTGTCTGAACCGACTGTAGCCCACAAAATTCTGTCTGAACCCGACTGTTGCCCCACAAAATTCTGTCTGAACCCGACTGCTGCCCCACAAAATTCTGTCTGAACCGACTGTAGCCCTCAAAATTCTGTCTGAACCGACTGTAGCCCACAAAATTCTGTCTGAACCGACTGTAGCCCCACAAAATTCTGTCTGAACCGACTGTTGCCCACAAAATTCTGTCTGAACTCGACTGTAGCCCACAAAATTCTGTCTGAACCGACTGTAGCCCCACAAAATTCTGTCTGAACCGACTGTAGCCCCCAAAATTCTGTCTGAACTGACTGTTGCCCACAAAATTCTGCCTGAACCGACTGTAGCCCCACAAAATTCTGTTTGAACCGACTGTAGCCCACAAAATTCTGTCTGAACCGACTGTAGCCCCACAAAATTCTGTCTGAACCGACTGTTGCCCCACAAAATTCTGTCTGAACCGACTGTAGCCCCCAAAATTCTGTCTGAACCGACTGTTGCCCACAAAATTCTGTCTGAACCCGACTGTTGCCCACAAAATTCTGTCTGAACCGACTGTTGCCCCACAAAATTCTGTCTGAACCGACTGTAGCCCCCAAAATTCTGTCTGAACCGACTGTTGCCCCACAAAATTCTGTCTGAACCGACTGTTGCCCACAAAATTCTGTCTGAACCGACTGTAGCCCACAAAATTCTGTCTGAACCGACTGTTGCCCCACAAAATTCTGTCTGAACCGACTGTTGCCCCACAAATTCTGTCTGAACCGACTGTAGCCCCACAAAATTCTGTCTGAACCGACTGTTGCCCCCAAAATTCTGTCTGAACCGACTGTAGCCCACAAAACTGCAAAGCGAGGTTACCATCTGGGCCACAAGAAACCAAAATGTGAAATATGGACGCTCCCGGATCTCGCCATGTTCCTATACAGTGTGTTTTTAAACTGCTGTGATGTGGTGAGACAGATAAGGATAAAGTCACACAAGCATGTTTATAGACAGATGGACTGACAGACGCCTAGACAGATTAGACTAAACTGGAGTAGACTGTTGATTTATGGCTGTAACTCTGCAGATCAGACTTCTAAAGTCTGTGTAGCTGCGTTTGGGATGAAAGGAATTCAGTTGTTGTAAAGCACACTGATGGCAGGTAGTTCGTTCTGACTTAATTGAAGCCAAACTTTTGTTTGGTTCTCGTGACTGTGATCTGACTGGCTGTTCTTTCTTCTCTCCTCAGGAAATGCTGGCAGTACCAGGCTGATGATGATGAAGATGAAGAGACTCTGCTGTGACCCTGCAAATCTGCAATGTTACTATTTCTTGTGAAGCAGTGACTCTCGTCTCTCTGTGTCTCTGGAGAATGGAAGATGGTCCTGTGAGTGATATCATCTCCACCTTCCCAGCTCCTCTATGGATCCACAGAGGAATTCCTCTCAAATGCCCTCGTGGCTGGCCAATCAGTCTCTCTCAGAGGCACCTGAAGGGGGCGCCATGTCCCAGTCCCTCGCGCTGCTGGCCATGCTGCTCATGGACGTGCTGGCTGTGGCAGGAAATGCAGCGGTCATGTTGGTTATAGCCAGAGCGCCACAGCTCAGGAAGTTTGTGTTTGTGTTCCATCTGTGCCTGGTGGACCTGTTGGCAGCGCTGGTGCTGATGCCCCTGGGCATGATGGGAGTAATGTCTGGTTCTAGCCGGACCTTCCCGGGATCCGAGGCTTTGTGCCGCAGTTACCTGTTCCTGAGCGTATGCCTGGTCAGCGCCGCTATTTTGTCCATCTGTGCCATCAACGTAGAACGCTACTACTACGTACTTCACCCCATGCGCTACGAAGTCCGCATGACCCTGGGCTTGGTGGGTGGGGTTCTGGGCGGCATCTGGACGAAAGCACTCTTGATGTCAGTGCTGCCCCTGCTGGCCTGGGTGCTGCAGGGGGGGCGGGGTCACGTGCTTGAACCCGGAGGGAGTGGGGTCGATGGGGGTGGAGTTAACGTCCCTACCCCAACTCCTCCTGCACACACACATAGACGGTGCTCTCTGCACTGGAGTGGGGGTGGAGCCAACCGGGTGGCATTTATGGTTCTGTTTGCTTTGGTCTACTTTCTGTGCCCCCTGTTGCTGATTTTTGTGGTGTACTGCAGCATGTTTAAGGTGGCGCGGGTCGCAGCCATGCAGCATGGCCCGATGCCGACCTGGACCGAAACCTTGAGGCGCAGGCGCTCTGAATCTCTCAGCAGCCGCTCCACCATGGTAACAAGCTCCGGCTCTGGGTCTAGATCAGGTTCCACAACTGGGACAGGCACCGGTGCCCGCGGGACCCCTCAGCGCCCGTTTGGAGGGGGCAAAGCGGCAGCCATTTTGGTGGCTATGGGTGGGCAGTTCCTGTTCTGCTGGCTGCCGTATTTCTCCTTCCACCTGTACTCGGCGCTAGCATCCCTGCAGCCTGCCTCTCTGGCGCCCCTAGAGGACGTAGTCACCTGGATCGGATACCTGTGCTTCACTTCCAACCCGTTCTTCTACGGCTGCCTAAACCGGCAGATCCGGCAGGAGCTCAGTAAGCACCTCCCGTTCCTGTTCCGCCCGCCGGCCGGGGATGAGCAGGAGCGCCTGCCCAGCCGTGATGGATCCATACAGGAAAACTTCATGCAGTTCCTGCAGGGCACCGGCTGCAACCTGGAGAATCCAGACTCCCAGAATGTCTCCAGTCCCAAGTCTTCCCCCCTCAGACCCTCCCCCCCGCTGCCCCGGTCCCAGCCCATACCCATCGACTTCCGCATTCCGGGACAGATCGCAGAAGAGACCTTGGAGTTTCTGGAGCAGCATCAGATTAAGAACAACCTCATCATTCCAGACAGCTAGGACTGGACTCCATTCCAATGGTCCACTGCAGGTTTTCACTACACACTCAAATTAAAGCGATAGTAATGTAGTTCCCCAGTTTCTCCATTGCAGGAATTTGCAGGAATTCAATTTCTAGCCAAACTATCACTTTAATTGGTTGATATTTTGTAAACCTGCTACAATTAATTTCTCTTTCTGAAAAAATCGTCCCTGAAATGCGGGTCCTGCACGGAGGCACTGAACGATAAATCCTGCCACTTTTATTACTTTAGAATTGTTTGTTTTATCTGAGCTGCTGTTGGTAATAATCTGCGTTAGTTTTGATTAGTTCCCGTTAGTAGTTCAGTGAGCAGCTGGTGGGCTTCTGTGTGTTAAAGCAGACAGAGATTAGGACACGTTCACTGAAGCTCAGTTCAGGGTACATTTTGTCTGGATTAGCTGTAATTTTTGTATTTTGGAATGTATTTTGAGAGTAGTTTGAGTAGCGTTCTGTAAACGTGAGCTGTATTTAATTCTGTATTTGTATAAACATGATTTTAATTAATTATGTTAACAATGTGCTTGCGATGGCAGGTAGAGGGCGCCATAAACAAAGTACAGGAGTCAGTTTATTCCAAAGTTTACAGGCTAACGCGAGCAGAGAGTGTGTGTTACACACAGGGAGCAGAAGTTTGTGTTTCAGTGACCTTTGACCTTTTGGCCTGTAGGGATAGTGTGTTGTTTGGTGCTGTTGATTAACTCTTTTATAAAAGTTACAATAAAAGTGTAACAGATCCCTTTGTGTACATCACCATCCTTTCCATCACACTCACACACACTCACACTCACACACACACACACACACACACACTCACACACACACTCACACTCACACACACACACACTCACACACACACACTCACACTCACACTCACACACACACACACACACACACACTCACACTCACACTCACACACACACACACACACACTCACACTCACACACACACACACACACACACACTCACACACACACACACTCACACACACACACACACACACACACTCACCACTACACACTCACACACACACACACACTCACACACACACACACACTCACACACTCACACACACACACACACACACTCACACACTCACACTCACACACACACACTCACACACACTCACACTCACACTCACACACACACACACACACACACACACACACACTCACACACACACACACCACACTCACACACACACTCACACACACACACCAGCTGAGCCAGTCAAACACACTTTAAACAACATTTAAAAACACCCCAAACAATTTTGGTATTAGGAGTTAAGCTACTATTGGATATCCGGTATTTAGGGGAGGGGTTTAGTGAACGGTGCGCTGTGAATGTGAAGGTGGATAAATTCTGTCATATAAAAATGAAACTGAAAGTCTAGTTTTATTGACAGTATCTGCAGAAAGTAGAGAGTAAAACGTAGAGCGTGTTACTGTGAAATGCAGTGAAGTGAAAGTTAACGTTAAATAAAGGGAAATACTTTGATACACATGTTTACTAAAGTACAGTAATGAAGTACATAGATACTGCCGCACTGCTGATTTCGCTCTGAGAACTGAGCAGCGCTGACAATCCAGTGCTGTGTTCATCTACATTATACAGTGTTTTTGGATGTTTGGATGTTGTACAGAGTGTGCAGTGTATGGAGTGTGCATGGAGCGTGCATTGTGCAGAGTATACTGAGAGTGCAGTGTATATGGAGTGTGCAGTGTGTGGAATGTACTGAGTGTGCAGTGTGGATGGAGTGTGCAGTGTGGATGGAGTCTTCAGTGTGTGGAATGTACTGAGTGTGCAGTGTGTGGAATGCGCAATGTGTGGAATGTATGGAGTCTGTGGAGTGTATGGAGTGTGCCGTGTGGATTGAGTGTACTGAGTGTGCAGTGTGGATGGAGTGTGCAGTGCGTGTAATGCGCAGTGGTTGGAGTGTGCAGTGTATGAAGTGTATAGAGTGTGCAGAGTGTATGGAGTATGCAGTATGTGGAGTGTGCAGTGTGTGCAGTGTGTGGAGTGTATAGAGTGTGCAGTGTGGATGTAGTGTGCAGTTTGTGGAGTTTGCAGTCTGGACGGAGTGCAGTGTGTGGAGTGTATGCAGTGTGGATGCAGTGTGTGGAGTGTGCAGTGTATGGAGTCTGTGGAGTGTACAGAGTGGGTAGTGTGTGGAGTGTGCAGTGTATGGAGTCTGTGGTGTGTGCAGTGTGGATAGAGTGTATGGAGTGTGCAGTGTGGATGGAGTGTGCAGTGTGTGGAGTAGATGGAGTGTGCAGTGTGTGAAGTGTATAGAGTGTGCAGTGTGGATGGAGTGTGCAGTGTGGTGTGGATGGAGTGTGCAGTGTGGATGGAGTGTGTGGTGTGGATAGAGTGTATGGAGTGTGCGGTGTGGATGGAGTGTGTGGTGTGGATAGAGTGTATGGAGTGTGCAGTGTGGATGGAGTGTGCAGTGTGGTGTGGATGGAGTGTGCAGTGTGGATGGAGTGTGTGGTGTGGATAGAGTGTATGGAGTGTGCAGTGTGGATGGAGTGTGTGAAGTGTGCAGTGTGGATAAAGTGTGCAGTGTGTGGAGTGGATGGAGTGTGTGGAGTGTAGCCCCCTCTCTTTTGTCCACACACTCTGGTGGCTCTGGAATCTCCGTTACCATGGAAACCATCAGCAGCGACATTTCACAGGCGGAGGAGGAGTTTATTTCTGGAGTCTAAATACATCCCCTCTCCCCCCCCACCTCTCTCTATCTCTCTCTCTGTCTCACTCTCTCACTCTCTCTCTCTCTCTGTCTCACTCTCTCTATCTCTCTCTCTGTCTCACTCTCTCACTCTCTCTCTCTCTCTCTCTGTCTCACTCTCTCTCACTCTCTCTCTCTCTCTCTGCAGTGTATATATTTAGTATTTTTATTTATTGTTTATATATGTATATACATATAATATATGCAGTGTATAGTATTATGATGTGGTTATATTGGGGTCAGTATAATGAGGTGCAGTAATGAGGTGCAGTACCCCAGCAGCTCCACTAGGTGGGGGTGTGAGTGGAAACTGACTACAGATAAAAGACAGGCAGCTGAAGTATTTACACTGTATTTATTTCACTCTGATTTAGAGAATCACTATATTAATTAATCAGAACAGGTTAGTCATTTACAGATGAACAGAGACGAGCTGTAACTAATATTTTTAAAAATGTACAGTGTTTTTATTGATTTGTACAGTTTCTCGCTGTTAATAATGCAGAACATCGAGCATGAAGATCAGAGGAACCTGCATTTATCAGTCAGGCATTTCACTGCGTTTAACTCTACAGGCAGAACTGTACAGTATTAATGAGGACGAGTCTGTTAAACACACACTTCACTCAGCAGACGCTAAAACATCAGAGTCTGTTTTACACTTCACACTGTTCATGTGACTGACGGATTAATAATCCTACACCGAGGGATTAATAATCCTACACCGAGGGATTAATAATCCTACACCGAGGGATTAATAATCCTACACCGAGGGATTAATAATCCTACAGTGATGGATTAATAATCCTACACCGAGGGATTAATAATCCTACAGTGATGGATTAATAATCCTACACCGATGGATTAATAATCCTACACTGAGGGATTAATAATCCTACACTGATGGATCAATAATCCTACACTGAGGGATTAATAATCCTACACTGAGGGATTAATAATCCTACACTGAGGGATTAATAATCCTACACCGAGGGATTAATAATCCTACACTGAGGGATTAATAATCCTACACCGATGGATTAATAATCCTACACCGAGGGATTAATAATCCTACACTGAGGGATTAATAATCCTACACCGAGGGATTAATAATCCTACACTGATGGATCAATAATCCTACACTGAGGGATTAATAATCCTACACCGAGGGATTAATAATCCTACACTGAGGGATTAATAATCCTACACCGATGGATTAATAATCCTACACTGAGGGATTAATAATCCTACACTGCGTCTCATTTCCACTGTAATCTGCTCCGCACTGCAACAATATCTTAGACTTTTCCTTCCATCACTAACACGCAAACCTGCACTATTTTCCTGATGAATATGTTTCTATATAAATATATTCCCTCTATAGAATGTCTACGTTTGATTTTGTACATTTTCACCCGCAAAATAATTTGCATCTCCGTTTGGATTCAGATTTTATTCCTTCTTTGTTACAAGAACTTTTCTTACATGCTTATTTATTTCACTGTTTTTGTTGAAGATTTACAAATTTAATAGTTTCTTTGATCAGAATGTTTTCAGCTAATTGCGCTCGCGCTAACGCGCTTTAGAAGGAGATGCTTTCGGTGAATTTCATTAGATTTTTGGAATTTGTGTTCAAAGTTCTGAAAAAAACTGAGAGCAGAGGATGTTTTAGCTGTAAACTGTAACTGTAGTCAGCATATCTAATACTTCTCACTGAGACGTCTGTAATAACATTACAAGATTATTTGACCTGTTTATAGATACGCTTCATTTGTTTTATGTAATTGTATCTAGTAAATGTTAATTGTATCGTGATTATAATTGTAGTTATTGTGTCTGAAAATAGCAAAATTATCTGCATTATTTCTCAAAACAAGTAAAATGATCTGCAGATGGAATAAAAAACGCTTTTTTTATGAATAAAACTACACAAAATGTCTAAAAACGGCTTAAATAATCTTAGAATATTCTCTCAGAAATCTCATATTGAGAAATGTTAGACATGCTGAGTGATTTAAGACGTTTTCAGCTGCTCAGATTGTGATTCTCTGCGGTGCACATTCACATCCCTCCTCACTTTAATCCACTCTGCAGGAGAACGTCTTCGTTCTCCGTTTCTGGTGGGCTCTTTGCGGTGGGCGAGTGAAAGTGAGGGAGGATCTGGTTCATTTGTGAAACGCTCTGTTACGCTTTCGTAAACATGGCGTTGCCGTGGTCACAGCTGTCCGCACTCCTTCAGGTTCTTGACGATGATGTCAGTGACAGTGTTGAAGGTGCTCTCGATGTCCTTGGTGTCCACTGCGCAGGTCAGGTGGGTGTAGATGGGCTTTCCTCCTTTATTAGTGTTTAGTTCCTCGAACTGCTGCTTGATGTAGTTGGTGGCGTCTTCGTAAGTGTTGGAACCTGAGCAGAGACGGCAGAGCGGTCAGTTGGCCGATTAAAGCGATAGTTTAGCCAATAATCAAATACTTACTCCAGATTAAATCAATCAGCCAGACGTGTTCGAGGTCTGATGTTCGCTTCTGTTTTTTTAGAAGCTGTTTTTATGAGGCTAATGTAGCTAACAGGTAATGGAAGCCTATACTCCACCAATTAGAGCTAAGCTAACACCACAAAGCTTATATCCCACCAGTTAGCACTGCTAGTCTTGATTATGTGATCTGTGACACCGTACGGCTCACTGTTATCTACAGACGTGGACTGAAGTGAAGCTCGCGGAGCTGTCTGAGACCTAAAAACAGATGATTTAGACGCTGATGCTAATTGGTGGTCGGAGCTGAACCGCTGCTGTAAAATAAAACCAAAGGAGTCGAGTCTACGAACCGCTGTAGTTGGGGAAGCAGGAGCTGAGCGGCACTTTGCTGATCTTCTCCTTGAACAGATCCTTCTTGTTGAGGAAGAGGACGATGGAGGTGCTGGCGAAGAACTTGTGGTTGCAGATGCTGTTGAACAGGTGGAGGCTTTCATGCATCCGGTTCTGTACAGGACAGAGAGAGAGAGGAACCCTGAAGAACCACAGCTCACACCCAGAAATCTAAACTTCTCACATCTGCTGCTCGTTTTCACGACTGCTGGGAGAAACAGGCACAAATTGACGAGCAGCGTTAACCGTCTCTCCTTCCCGTTTAGTTAGCGCAGTGTTCCGCACTCCGATCCGTGATCTGGAACTCCAGTCCAGGTTTTATTTATTTATTTATTTTAATTGCTTACAATCAACAGTGAGTGTTTAAGTGCTGGCGCCCCATCAGATTAACTCTTAATTATGGTTTCATGTTTAGTTGTCATAGGTTTTTTCAAATTTTACAGTTTTAATGCACTGAAACCTCCATCACAGAAGACGAAGAAGAAGAAACAGTGGATCCTTACAGTAGAAACAGAGACGAAGTTGTCATTTTCTTTTTTAGCCTGAACTCACAGACACTGCCGAACAGCCCGTTCGGTAAGCAGCGCAGTGAGTTTCAGCGACTCACACAGGAGCAACAACAAGTTTAATGTTTGTATTTTTTTAATTTGATGTGACTTTTTTGTCTCTAAAACTCTGTGTAAGGCTGTAGGGATTTGTCGCCCCCTTCTGGCTCAAATGGAAATTGTCCTAGATACACTGAGTCAGTAACTGTAATCATGGTTTTAAATCATAAAAAAATCAATATCTGTGACCAAAATGGACCCCTATCTGTGCTTTTGAGCGCTGTTGAATAAGTCGGCCATTTCATCTTAGTGTTGAAGTAGTAAAATGGGATTTCAGAGAGATTTTGAGAGGAATACAAATCCCACAATCCACTCGTAACGTCTTAGTGAACCCAGCAGAGCTGAGTATGAACTGCACAGCGAGTCTCGTTACCAAACAACGTGCAGAGGAACTTTAGCTGACATTAATGGTACCGAACCCCCGTACTCCCCGCGGTATGTGGTCCTAGGTGTGTGTGCTGCAGGTGTGGTTGCTATGGTAACTCACCACCTCTTCGTCCTCTACCAGTGCCATGTCGTAGGAGTTGAGGGCAGCGCAGAAGATGATGCAGGAAACGTCCTCAAAGCAGGTGATCCACTTCTTCCTCTCAGGCCGCTGACCACCTGCATCAAACATCCTGCAGCAACAGAGAGGGTGGAGCATGAAGTGGAGAACACAACGTGGGCTAGAGGGGTATAAATCCTCACAGCAATGTTCAACATCTAGTAAAGAGTAGAGGCTGTTACTGCAGCACAGACTCACTATTAACACCTTCATTTCAGAAGAAACGCTGGAGTCCACAGACCTTCTGGGAAGATATAGTCTGTTACCCAGACCCGATTAAGTCTAAGCCTAGACTAAAAGGAGTCCTCAACTGGGGATTCACCACTGGTGCTGCAATTGAGTCCAACACTAGGCTTAATCCATGTCTGGGTTTAACGTGTTTAACGGAATCGCAGCGTCAGTTCTGTCCAAGCTGTGAGAGAATTCCTCACCTGAAGTTCAGATCTCTGAAGGTGAACTGCTCCTCCACCACGTCAGTGGACTTGACGCGAGCGTGAAGCACGTCCAGGTCGTTGGGGATGTAATCGGCCGCACAGATCCGGTCCAGGTCGGCAAGATAACTGAGCAGATACACATTCATCAGCATCTCAACCTTCAGTTTTGGTCCAAAACAGTAAAAATGCTCATAATCATAATAAAGTTACAGAGTTTCCATTTTTAAAGACTAATTAGCTGTAAAACTAAGTGGAGTTTTCCACTCCACAAAATACCAGAACCTTATAGCAGCAGAAAAATGGAACGGTGGGTCATCGGTCCAGTGCTGAGGCTCCAGTTTTAAAACAGGACCTAATGGCTCTCGAGGGTGTGTTTGGTAAGATTTGCAGCTGAACATAAAGACAGTTTAGCAAATTCTTCACTCTTCTGGGGGATAAAGTCACTAACACTGTCACATCAACGATAAGAGCACCATGGTGTACAGGAGAGCGGAGTGTTGACGTTTTGATTGATATCTTTTAGAATTATTACGTTATAATATTATATTATTACAGCGTTGTAGCTATTTATGCTAGCTGAGGCTCCACAGATGGCAAAAAAAGCTTGTTGCCTTTTATGCTGTGTCAAAATTTCATGATGAACAGACCAACAGAAATGATCCAAAATTGCTTGGAAAAAAATATTTATCCACTTTCTTCTATTAAAATAACGTTTTTTGCCCTGTAAAGTTACTTTTTTGGAAATACGAGGTTTTGTTCCGACAGCAGTGATATGTTGTGTTTTGGATGTTGGTCAACCAGCATGACCAAACTGGGTGACCAGCTAAACCAGCTTAGACCAGCATAGACCAGCATGACACGCTTGCTGGTCTGTGCTGCTTTTTATGAAGGGTTATGTTACCTTAGCGAACTCTTTACGAAGCAACAACTCTATGCTTATGTTTTCACTCTGTAACATAAACGTATAAAAGCCCAGTTTGATTCTTCACCTGATTCTGTGTGAACGAGGTGTTTGAGTTCAGAGCAGTGCAGGGCTTAGCTAAGCTAAACAGCAAGTCAGGTAGCTAGTTAGCCAAATTAGACACTTTAGGGTGACTAATAAACGATTAATAACTGTTATTATGGCGGCTAATTAAAGTCAGTCCTAATGTCGGGGGCTCACTAAGCTGTGGAGTCGCAGAGCTGGTACTCCGCCGATCTCTCTATGGCAGCGTGAAACCCGGAGTCTCTCCACAAACTCCTCAGGATCTCCTCCAGCTCCGAGGGCATCGTCCCGTCCTCCACCGTGTCCGCCAGCTTCTGCAGCTTCTTCCCGTCTTCCTGCACACACGTTAACACAGAGCTCAGCGCTGGATCTGCAGCCTGAGTTCACACACTGATTCCTTTCATCTTCATAATCATGTTACACTGTGACCAAAATTCAAAAGAGTAAACAGTAAACAGACGAGCTCTCCTCTGACAGCGCTGGATCCTCCAGACTGGTGTTGTGTTCTGCTGGTGGGTCGCAGTGGGGGGACGAGTGGGCGGTGAGGGAGCGGGATCTGTATTTCTATGAGAGCTAAAAGACCCACACTTTAAACAGGAAGAGAGAACTTTGTGAAGAACTCCTCATGATTCTGAAACTCACTGTTAAAAGACTAACTGGCTGACTTATCATCTGTTGTCAGCATTTCACAGCGTTAATGCAGTTAATATCCGGGACACTAAGTTTAGGTTATCAAAACACACTGAAGTTTGGCTTCAAACCAACCTACTGTTGATGGAGTTAAGACTTCTCAGTAGGACACTGTTAGACACTGTTAGCTACAGTCAAAGAAACCTTGCTAACGTCAGCTTAGTTGATTCATGTTAAGCTATTTATTTGAAGTTAGCTACCGTTAAGCCTCTGGTAGGAAACAAATGGCCGAGCTACCAATGTTAGTTAGATTAATACGTTATTATTTATGATGAGCATTACTGACAAATCGTTTCTATTCATTTGCTACGAGAAAGCTAGAAACCATCGCGCTAATGTCGAGGCTACAAGCACACTAGCCGACTCAACGCCACAGCCACGAACGGACCTTGACCAATTGGCGTAAAGCTGCTTAAGAAAAGACGCCATGATTGGTGCGCTGGCAGGAACCGCCCCTCGGCAGCTCTGATTGGCTGAGTTTTGGCACAAACGTTCAGACATTTTACAGCGAGCAGGTGTGAAAGTTGAGCTCTGCGGAGCTGAGAGCAGAACTGATTAGTGCGAGTGTTGAAGGTGAAGAGCACCGTTGAGCAGGTTTTCCAGTTGTGAGTGTCTGCAGATGTGAGTTCTGACAGGGAAATGAACTGTTGTGCAGATTTTCAGGTTCTGAATGAAATCAGAGTGTTTTGTTGAGCAAATCTGAAGGTGTTTATCTGCCGCCCTTCATGCTGACAAATACATTCAAGTTCATTATCTGCGCTCAGAGCAGCGCCGTCCTCTCAGACCGGAACATTCCTCTCTCAAACACCAGGATCGTCTCTCAGACATTTTAGCACAAAACTAACTCCATACAGGAGAATCGTATCTGATCTGTAGTGTGTAGTGTATAGTGTAGTGTATAGTGTAGTGTATAGTGTAGTGTTGTGTGCAGTGTGTAGTGTAGTGTGTAGTGTAGTGTGTGGTGTGTAGTGTGTAGTGTGTAGTGTGTGGTGTGTAGTGTAGTGTGTAGTGTAGTGTGTGGTGTGTAGTGTGTAGTGTAGTGTAGTGTGTGGTGTGTAGTGTAGTGTGTAGTGTGTGGTGTGTAGTGTAGTGTGTAGCGTGTAGTGTGTAGCGTGTGGTGTGTAGTGTAGTGTGTAGCGTGTGGTGTGTAGTGTAGTGTGTAGTGTGTGGTGTGTAGTGTAGTGTGTAGCATGTGGTGTGTAGTGTGTAGCGTGTTCTGTGTAGTGTAGTGTGTAGCGTGTGGTGTGTAGTGTGTAGTGTGTGGTGTGTAGTGTAGTGTGTAGCGTGTGGTGTGTAGTGTGTAGCGTGTGGTGTGTAGTGTAGTGTGTAGTGTGTGGTGTGTAGTGTAGTGTGTAGCATGTGGTGTGTAGTGTGTAGCGTGTGGTGTGTAGTGCATTGTGTAGTGTGTGGTGTGTAGTGTGTAGTGTGTGGTGTGTAGTGTAGTGTAGTGTGTAGTGTAGTGTGTAGCATGTGGTGTGTAGTGTAGTGTGTAGTGTGTGGTGTGCAGTGTAGTGTGTAGCATGTGGTGTGTGGTGTGTAGTGTGTAGCGTGTGCTGTGTAGTGTAGTGTGTAGCGTGTGTAGTGTAGTGTGTAGTGTGTGGTGTGTAGTGTAGTGTGTAGCGTGTGGTGTGTAGTGTGTAGCGTGTGGTGTGTAGTGTAGTGTGTAGTGTGTGGTGTGTAGTGTAGTGTGTGGTGTGTAGTGTAGTGTGTAGCATGTGGTGTGTAGTGTGTAGCGTGTGCTGTGTAGTGTAGTGTGTAGCGTGTGGTGTGTAGTGTAGTGTGTAGTGTGTGGTGCGTAGTGTAGTGTGTAGCGTGTTTGTGTGTAGTGTGTAGCGTGTAGTGTGTAGTGTGTAGCGTGTGGTGTGTAGTGTAGTGTGTAGTGTGTGGTGTGTGAGTACTGACGGTTGCTATAGGAGAGTCATATTTGATCTGTAGTGCGTAGTGTATAGTGTAGTGTTGTGTGCAGAGTTGTGTAGTGTGTAGTGTGTAGTGTAGTGTGTGGTGTGTAGTGTAGTGTTGTGTGTAGTGTGTAGTGTGTAGTGTAGTGTTGTGTGTAGTGTGTAGTATAGTGTAGTGTAGTGTGTAGTATAGTGTAGTGTAGTGTGTAGTGTGTAGTGTAGTGTGTAGTGTGTGGTGTGTAGTGTAGTGTAGTGTAGTGTGTGGTGTGTAGTGTAGTGTGTAGCGTGTGGTGTGTAGTGTAGTGTGTGGTGTGTAGTGTGTAGTGTGTGGTGTGTAGTGTAGTGTGTGGTGTGTAGTGTGTAGTGTGTGGTGTGTAGTGTAGTGTGTGGTGTGTGGTGTGTAGTGTAGTGTGTAGTGTGTGGTGTGTAGTGTGTAGTGTGTAGTGTGTGGTGTGTAGTGTGTGGTGTGTAGTGTAGTGTGTGGTGTGTAGTGTGTAGTGTAGTGTGTAGTGTGTGGTGTGTAGTGTGTAGTGTGTAGTGTGTGGTGTGTGTGGTGTGTAGTGTGTAGTGTGTGGTGTGTAGTGTAGTGTGTAGTGTGTAGTGTGTGGTGTGTGGTGTGTAGTGTAGTGTGTGGTGTGTGGTGTGTAGTGTGTAGTGTGTGGTGTGTAGTGTGTAGTGTGTAGTGTGTGGTGTGTAGTGTAGTGTGTGGTGTGTAGTGTGTAGTGTGTAGTGTAGTGTGTGGTGTGTAGTGTGTAGTGTGTGGTGTGTAGTGTGGTGTGTAGTGTGTGGTGTGTAGTGTAGTGTGTAGTGTGTGGTGTGTAGTGTGTAGTGTGTGGTGTGTAGTGTAGTGTGTGGTGTGTAGTGTGTAGTGTGTAGTGTGTAGTGTGTGGTGTAGTGTGTAGTGTGTGGTGTGTAGTGTAGTGTGTAGTGTGTGGTGTGTAGTGTAGTGTGTAGTGTGTGGTGTGTAGTGTGTGGTGTGTAGTGTAGTGTGTGGTGTGTAGTGTGTGGTGTGTGGTGTGTAGTGTAGTGTGTAGTGTGTAGTGTGTAGTGTGTGGTGTGTAGTGTAGTGTGTGGTGTGTAGTGTGTAGTGTGTGGTGTGTAGTGTAGTGTGTGGTGTGTAGTGTAGTGTGTGGTGTGTAGTGTGTAGTGTGTGGTGTGTAGTGTAGTGTGTAGTGTGTAGTGTGTGGTGTGTAGTGTAGTGTGTGGTGTGTGGTGTGTGGTGTGTAGTGTGTGGTGTGTAGTGTAGTGTGTGGTGTGTGGTGTGTGGTGTGTGATTACTGACGGTTGCCGTGGGAGAGTCATATTTGATCTGTAGTGCGTAGTGTATAGTGTAGTGTTGTGTGTAGTGTAGTGTGCAGTGTGTAGTGTAGTGTGTAGTGTGTGGTGTGTAGTGTAGTGTGTAGGGTGTAGTGTATAGTGTAGTGTGTAGTGTAGTGTAGTGTGTAGTGTAGTGTAGTGTGTAGTGTGTGGTGTGGTGTGTAGTGTAGTGTGTAGGGTGTAGTGTGTAGTGTAGTGTAGTGTGTAGTGTGTGGTGTGTAGTGTAGTGTGTAGGGTGTAGTGTGTAGTGTAGTGTGTAGTGTAGTGTAGTGTGTGGTGTGTAGTGTAGTGTGTGGTGTGTGAGTACTGATGGTTGCTATGGGAGAGTCATATTTGATCTGTAGTGCGTAGTATATTGTGTAGCATGTAGTGTGTAGTGTGTAGTGTGTAGTGTTGTGTGTAGTGTGTAGTGTAGTGTGGTGTAGTGTAGTGTGTAGTGTAGTGTGTAGTGTGTGGTGTGTAGTGTGTGGTGTGTAGTGTAGTGTAGTGTAGTGTGTGGTGTGTAGTGTAGTGTGTAGCGTGTGGTGTGTAGTGTAGTGTGTGGTGTGTAGTGTAGTGTGTAGTGTGTGGTGTGTAGTGTAGTGTGTAGTGTGTGGTGTGTGGTGTGTGATTACTGACGGTTGCCGTGGGAGAGTCATATTTGATCTGTAGTGCGTAGTGTATAGTGTAGTGTTGTGTGTAGTGTTGTGTGCAGTGTGTAGTGTAGTGTGTAGTGTAGTGTGTAGTGTGTGGTGTGTAGTGTGTGGTGTGTAGTGTAGTGTGTGGTGTGTGGTGTGTGGTGTGTGATACTGACGGTTGCCGTGGGAGAGTCATATTTGATCTGTAGTGCGTAGTGTATAGTGTAGTGTTGTGTGTAGTGTTGTGTGCAGTGTGTAGTGTAGTGTAGTGTGTAGTGTGTGGTGTGTAGTGTAGTGTGTAGGGTGTAGTGTATAGTGCAGTGTGTAGTGTAGTGTGTAGTGTAGTGTTGTGTGTAGTGTAGTGTGTAGTGTGTAGTGTAGTGTGTGGTGTGTAGTGTGTAGTGTAGTGTGTAGTGTAGTGTGTAGTGTAGTGTTGTGTGTAGTGTGTAGTGTAGTGTGTAGGGTGTAGTGTAGTGTGTGGTGTGTAGTGTAGTGTAGTGTGTAGTGTAGTGTGTGGTGTGTAGTGTGTGGTGTGTGGTGTGTAGTGTAGTGCGTAGTGTGTAGTGTAGTGTAGTGTGTAGTGTAGTGTGTAGTGTAGTGCGTAGTGTGTAGTGTAGTGTAGTGTGTAGTGTAGTGTGTGGTGTGTAGTGTGTGGTGTGTGGTGTGTGGTGTGTAGTGTGTGGTGTGTGGTGTGTAGTGTGTAGTGTGTGGTGTGTGGTGTGTAGTGTAGTGTGTAGCGTGTGTAGTGTAGTGTAGTGTGTAGTGTAGTGTGTGGTGTGTAGTGTGTGGTGTGTGGTGTGTAGTGTGTAGTGTGTAGTGTGTGGTGTGTGGTGTAGTGTGTGGTGTGTAGTGTAGTGTAGTGTGTAGTGTGTAGTGTAGTGTGTAGTGTGTAGTGTAGTGTGTAGTGTGTAGTGTGTAGTGTAGTGTGTGGTGTGTAGTGTGTGGTGTGTAGTGTGTAGTGTGTAGTGTGTGGTGTGTGGTGTAGTGTGTGGTGTGTAGTGTAGTGTAGTGTGTAGTGTAGTGTGTAGTGTGTAGTGTGTAGTGTAGTGTGTAGTGTGTAGTGTGTGGTGTGTGGTGTAGTGTGTGGTGTGTAGTGTAGTGTAGTGTGTAGTGTAGTGTGTAGTGTAGTGTGTAGTGTGTAGTGTAGTGTGTAGTGTGTAGTGTAGTGTGTGGTGTGTAGTGTGTGGTGTGTGGTGTGTAGTGTGTAGTGTGTAGTGTGTGGTGTGTGGTGTAGTGTGTGGTGTGTAGTGTAGTGTAGTGTGTAGTGTAGTGTGTAGTGTGTAGTGTGTAGTGTAGTGTGTAGTGTGTAGTGTAGTGTGTGGTGTGTAGTGTGTGGTGTGTGGTGTGTGAGTACTCACGGTTGCCGTGGGAGAGTCATATTTGATCTGTAGTTGCTCCATCCCGCTGGTGACGGACAGTGACGACTGCAGGATGTTCCTGTAAATCACCGCCCTGAACTCCAGCTGCTCTTCTTTACTGAATCCACCATGATACAGGATCCTGCACACACACACACACACACACACACAAACACACACACACACACACACACACACTTCGGTGTCAGTGAGAGTAATGGTCAGTCTCAGAGTCCGGTCAGTGTTCCATTTCTCCCGTTTATCAAACATGCTTCAGAGTGAAACAATAAGATCAAAAAATGAAAACATAAGAAAAAATAGTAATAAAATTAAAATAAACATAGAAGATTAACTTTAACTCAAAGCCAAATCACAACGTCTTAAAGATGTTTTTAACAGTGGTGTCAAAGTTAATGGCACAGCAAAACCATAAATTAAGTTTTTTACACCGTTAATATATTTTTGTAGTTTGACCCCTCAAAACAATCCGTAGTTGCAGGCTGAAGTCCAGCTGCAGCTGCTGAATGTAGTTTGTTGTACACTGTTGCTCTGCTGTAGTTCTCTCATCCATTTATAACTTTCCAAGGGCTTTGATTAAGTTTCTCCAGCTGCCGCCATTCTGTGAATTTGTTTATCACCGAAGAACATCGAGTCTGAAGTGTCATTAACAAGTAAATCGCAGTGCTGCTGCAATATGAGTAATATCAGTGAGATCAGTGAGATCAGTGAGATCAGTATTAGCAGTAATTTCAGTATTAGCAGTATTAGCAGTACATTAGCGCTGGAGAACCTTCAGCTCCTTCAGCAGACGTCAGTGGACAGAACTCACAGGAGCATTATGGACAAATCAGTCAGCAGCAAACTAAGAAAAACCCCACTGTCTACAGTTTTTGGAGCATTTCAGACGATGTTTCTTACAATGTTCAAACATCCACACCGAGAGAACCAGAGTTCTTATACTCACTTCATCTGCTTCATGATGGTGCTCTTACCAGCCTCTGCAGCACCTGTTCACAGAACAGCACATCACTTTCCCTTTCACTCCAACACACACATTCATCATACACTGACACCGATTAACACTAATGACACTAATTTTCAAATGGATCTGATAAACACACTTACATACAGTTCTTTCTGTCTGTGTGTAATATTTCCCCATACATTTTAAAATAAATGCGTTTTAAATATTCTGAAATACATTTTAGTGTTTGAAGTGTATTTGAAATATATTAAATACATGTCTGTATATTTTTTTTCTTATGGGATCTGAGAAAACAAACTGTGAATCTGACCTGCTGACCTGCTGGACTCTAAATAAACCAGAACAGCCTTTTATACTTAGACCAAACTGCTGGACTGAGGAATCTGACCTGTAGTGACCGCCCACAGGCAGCCGCGTATCGCCACTAAACTCGGCCTTTACTGAAATATCTGGATTATAACGTCTTCGTGTTTCCAGCGTAAACACTGCTAAACCCCTAAACTGATCTAATGAGCTCAGCACTCTGCGCTTCACTGCTGAGGCTTAAACCGCTCGCCTGGGTTTAACGCTGTGACGTAATGACCAGAGGATCAGGATTCACCCTCAGAACAGACTCAGGAAAGGACAATCCAACTCTACAGGGCTATAAAACAATAATAATAACAGTAATAGTCTGAATATGTTGGGGCTCTAAAGTGACAGTCTGCCCCACCCAGGCATAAAAAACAGGGTTCAAACTAAACCGGCCAATAGATTTATTACATTTAGGGCTGATGTCGAAAGCTGATATTTTTCATATACACACACCAAAAAATGATGCCTAATCAAGTGAAAACATGCAGTCAATACATCTAATAATTCTCAGTGTGAGGTTCTTCTAAGAATGAATAATTATTGACATACAAATAATGAATAATTTGCAAATAAAGTCATTTACACTGTATGTTTACATGCCTTTCCTGGGGTTTCTCTCGCCATTGACGTCTTTCTGCTAATATACTGAATGAAGCGATCAGCAACAAACAAAACAAACAAACAAATAAACAAAACAGCGAACTGGTGGGGCTTTTCGGAGCTCGGCTGGACTAACACTGCTCTTACTGTTTATAAGCCCTGCTAGCCTAAACCAGTATTTAAAACCAGCCTGTACTCCTGACGCTCTGTGGAATGATGTTCAGGAGCTCCGTGAGACACTGATCTTCCACCAGCTGAGCTGTAAGAGACGCTGGAGTGAGCAGCTCAGCTGAGTGGAGCGGCGATGGTGGTTCAGCAGATCAGTGAGATCGAGGAACCGGCTGAGGAATTATAACCCTCCAATCCTTTTTAGATTTTTAGCAGATTTAACCAGATTACCAGAGAAGCAGCAAAGCCCCCTTGAAAAGGAAAAGAGTCTCCCAGCTTGCTGTCAGGTGGAGTTTATAACCAGCCGCAGAGACGCTGACCAGCTGACCGCCTTAATCACCTCATACTGACCCTGCACGGCTAACCTGCTCTAAAGAAGCACGCTCTTAAAAAGACGGTTCCTCAAGGGATCTTTAGTAAAGACTATATAGAACCATGAACACTAAAACAAACATCTGCATGGAGAAATGGTTCTTCAGACTGATGGAGAATGTTCTGTTCAACAAAGCACCAAAGAAGTTCTTCTGTTTTTACAAGACTGACATCTTAATAGCAGAACTCTTTTTGGTGCTACATAGAACAACACATTCTCCATCAGTCCGAAGAACCATTTCACCATGCAGAGAACCATTTTCTTTGAGTGTTCATGGTTCTACATATATATATATATATATATATATATATATATACATATATATATATATATATATATATATATATATATATATGTATATATATAAAGTGAAATAATGGAGTCAATATGTCTAATAATTGTTCTAACAATACTGTAAGATTATTAAAATTTCACTTGTTTAAAGTAATTTTATCTGATAAAAGTTTCTTATTTCATTGGCAGATAATTTTACCAGTTTTAAACATTGTTTCTTGAAATTTGCCAATAAAATCACACTTTTACTAGATAAAATTGCTTCAAACAGGCAAAAATGTTTAGAAACAGGTTGAATAATCTTATAATATTCTTACAACAGCCTCATAATGAGAAATATTAATATTATTAAACATTAATAAACATTAATAAAGTGCAGAAATGTGGTGCAGGTCTACCTGATAGTCATGAACGCAGTGAAATGAGTAAAACGCAGGTATGTTAGAGTGTTTTAGTGTTTCAGTGTCACCTGAACATTCTGCTCTACTGGAGTTCAGTAAACACATCAGTCTGAAATATCAGTCTAATATAAATTCCACATGATACTGATTATTTTCTTTACGCAATTACCTGACGATACCAATATGACTATGACATCATTGTGCATCACTAATATTATTAGTTGCAGACAAGCATTGAGCAAGAAAGGTATAAAAAATGTTATACCAGAAAAAATTACTGACATGAAAAGTGTATATTTATAGTAACTGTATAGACTCTGACTTCTTACTTTTACAGAAGCTCCAGTTCCCTGAACTTTACAAAATGAAGCACTGTTTTTATTTAGTAATAATATCTGGGCTGGACTGTGATTACAGTAAACTCATACTCACAGTTAGAAACAGAAATAGAACTCATAAATTCATAAATCATCAAAAGAAGAAGACAAAGAAGATGATTAACACTGTAATTTGAATCATTTGTAATAAGAACAGCAGAAGGTTTTTAATTAAACACGTCCGATTAACTAACTTTCTCTGTGTCACAGATTTCATACTAAATCTGGGTACGTCAGTTCAGCTGGTCTGGGTTTGTGAATAAGATTCACTATTTTATCAAAATCTGGTTTCATGTATGTCGAAAAGTTCTTTTGTTTTCCAAAGTAAGTGGGGTGTTAGAACTAAAGTGTCGCCAGAAAATGTTAAGTTTAAAATTTTAAGTCTACTTAAACTTATGTTGTGTAGCTCCTTACCTAGCAACAGGACTTTGATGCTTTTTTCGGTCGACCCCATGGTTTTCGACAGACAGAGGGACAGATGGATGGACGGATGGATGAATGGACGGAGTGCCTGACAGAGTGAGCAGGTAGAAAACTACAAGTCTTTCCTCTAAACTTCTGCTGAAACCTGACTGTAAACTCCACCCCGATCTCCAAACCCCTCCTCCACTTCTGAGTCCCACCATTCAGGCTTTCGCAGGCATCTTCATTGTCATGGTAACCTCAGAATCCGATTAGGCAGAGCTCCATAAGGAGAGAGTCTAAAAGCACAGGGACTTACAGCGAGGCTAAAAATACTAAAAGGTTAAAAAGGATTTCAGAAGAATCCCCTTTGGTGCTGTAATTCAGGTGAACTGTGGGGGTTTAATCTGTGTCTGTTTGCAGGATCCAGTTTCCAGGACGTCACACCCAGCCGCCCCCGCAGGGCAGGACTGCATCTTCCACTGAACTCTGGTATCGGGACACGGCTCTGGCTCGGAAGTGCAATGCCCCTGTTCCCCTGTATCCCCTGGTGCCCCCTAAACCATCTGGACCCCCTGTAATCCTGTAACACCGTACTCCCTATCAGTTCCCCATTCCCCCGTTCCCTGTACATACCCTGTATTGCCTGTACTCCTTGTACTCCCCATTCCTTTTGCACCTGTGGTGCTCCTGTAAAAATCAAATCATATCAAATCCAATCACATTTATTGTCACATCACATTTACACAGGTGGAAGGTGAGTGAAAATCTTAGGTGCGTAGCCCCCTTTTTTATTTAAATACAATTTAAATACAATATATATATATATATATATATATATATATATGAAGAAAAAAAGAAATATATACACACCGACTCTGAATATACACATATACACAATATACAATGTACAGTTATACAGTAATACGTTATGAAATAAGACTACGTGCAGTTAGTCTGAGGTAGATAATAAATGAGATGCAGGTACACAGGGATAGAACACTGATACAGAAATCTTCCAGGTTAATCAAGATATGGATTGAAGATGTACAAGATGTCAGTCTATGTGTGTAAGTACAGATTTGCTAGATTGAAGGTGCAGAAGATCAGAGTGAGTCTGATGAGATGTGGATGAGGTGGTGATTGTCCATGGAGATGATGATTCAGAGGTGCAGTGACCGGCATATAGACCAATACACCAGCACTACTGGCTGTTCAGCAGCCTGATGGCCTGGGGGAAGAAACTGTCTCGGAACCGGCTGGTTCTGGACTTCATGCTTCTGTACCTCCTCCCGCTTGGCAGCTATGAGAACAGACAGTGGCTCGGGTGGGTGGAGTCCTTTAGAATCCTCTTGGTCTTCCTCGGGCAGCGGCTGGTGTATAAATCCAGGAGGTTTGGGAGCTGGACCCCGGTGATGTGCTGGGCTGTCTGCACCACCCTCTGCACAGCTTTCCGCTCAATGGCAGTGCAGTTTCTGTACCAGGTGGTGATTGAGCTGTTAGAATGATCTCCACAGTGTGCGTGTAAAATGTTCTGAGGATGTGGGGGTTCATGCCAAACCTCTTCAGCTGCCTGAGGTAGAAGAGGCGAGATGTGTTCGCTCCATGTCAGTTCCTCTGAGATGTGAACACCGAGGAGCTTGAAGCTGCTGACCCTCTACTGTGGCTCCGTTGATGGTGATGGGGGTGTGCACTTTCTCTTGCTTCCTGAAGTCCACTATGAGCTCCTTGGTCTTGTTGACATTGAGAGAGAGGCACCAGTGTGTCAGGAATCTGACCTCCTCTCTGTAGGCCTCCTCGTTGTCATTGGAGATCAGGCCCACAATCGTGGTGTCATCTGCAAATTTGATGATGACACTGGAGCTGTGTCTGGCTGAGCAGTCGTGGGTGTTCAGGGAATACAAGAGAGGGCTGAGCACACAGCCCTGAGGAGCTCCGGTGTTAAGGGTCAGCGAGGAGGAGGTGATGCTGCCCATCCTTACCACCTGGCGTCGGACTGTCAGGAAGTTCAGAATCCAGGTGCACAGAGAACTGTTCAGACCCAGAACCCGAAGGCACGATGGTGTTGAATGCTAAGCTGTA